AAYYATTWATRBAAACGAAAATTTCTGAATTGACACAATTCAGAAAATTTCCAAACCTCAGTCAAACAACGGTAAATGAACAAAAAAATTCTGAATTGACACAATTCAAAAAATTTCCAAACATCAGTCAGACAACTATAAATATAAACGAACATTTCTGAACTTTCAAACTTCTAAACCTCAGTCAAACAATTACAACAACAAAAATAACAACATAATTTTCTGAATGTCGGAAGTTTTGGAAATTTCTGAACGTCGGAAAAGGAAAAAGTTTAGACCTTGTCCGGCTTGTTCTATTTCCGGGAAAGAGACTCTGTTTTCAGGTTGCAGTGCCGTAAATAAATCATTTCTTGATTTCCTAGGTCGGCATTAGCTTAGTCAGGCACCGCGGAGTCGGTATTGTCTATCCAATAAAGTTTACCACCATTTTGTCGCTTCTCGAAAGTTTTGACCCGTTTCGATTTAGTCCACCCCCCTCCACGTAACAGTTATTGTATTTGTTATAGCTTTGAGTATCTTAGAAATTCACTTATCTGACTTCTTGWGTATATCTTGAGTGTATCCCAAATTCCCTTGTTAATATGTTAATATGTGTTGTTTATAGAACAAGAGTGTGTGTTTTATCGGGTATATAAAACCTGCAGCTCGAATCTATTTAAGAAATATAAAACGGCGCGCGTGTCTCTGTGCTCTGATATAAACACGGTGGGAGTTCGAAAAACACGAGAGAAGCAAGCTTAGGAACACGAGCGTAGCAAGTGTTTCTCTTGCTTCTCGAGTGTTTTTCAACTCCCACCGTGTTTATATCAGAGGACAGAGACACAAGTGGCCGTTTTATATTTCTTTTATAAAATTTTTCGAGTGAAAAGAAAATTTTGCCGGTAAGCCGTGTCTCTGTCCTCTGATATAAACACGGTCGTCAGCCAATCAGAGCGCGCGTTATATATCAAAAATTTTATAAATCCCGATAAAACACACACTCTCTAGAACTCATTAATAATTCATGAGCTATTAGGCCAATGAGCATCAAACTATTGGGTCACATGATGGGCCTTTATATCCAATAAAGTACTGATGTTTTATTAATCAGTTCTATATCAGATATATAGAACTGGTGTTTTATTAATCAGTTCTATATCAGATATAAAGAACTGATCAAGTTCACCAGCGCTTTATCGCAACCCAACACTAGCAAAGATCTCAGTTTTAAGTAATGTTTAAAGTCCGACAATGAGGACTGGACGGGGTTTCAAGTCCGCGCAATTAGTTCCAGTCCGAGTTGTCAAAATCATCGGCCGTTCAGCCAAAACTTAACAAGGAAAAAAGAAGAATAAGAAAGTTGCTGTATTTTAAAAACGTCCTGGCCAAGGTCCTGGGATGGTAATAAATAATATCATGGCTTGATTATTGTTACTATCTAAAAGATACTACACAAAGGAATGGATCCAGCAATTTTGCAGATCATAGAAATTATATGCATTCATATGTATTTAACCAGGACTTTATTCCCAAATAAGGGAACAACCACTTGGAACCCTTTATTAGAACCGCTCCTATAATTTTCCATTAACATATAATTATTAATAAGCTAACTTTATGAATTATTTATCATAAATTAGATAAATATAAGCACTAACCTGTCACAAACATCTAGTGCAAGCTTTATGCTTTCACATGCCTCTTCTATTGCTTGCTAAAATGATAATTGTTCAAAATACAATTAATATCTGTGATAAATAACAAAGCAAAGGAGATTTGTACATTTTAGATGGTAAACATAGATTGCAGAAGATTTCATTGTGAGCTATAATTTCAGCATAGTTTAAAACACAAGAGAGTGATTATACCTGATAAAACACAATCTCGAGTGATTTTTTAAAAACGGCATCAAAAACCCCAACACTAATTCGAAACTCAAATCCATTAAGATTCTTGGAGAAATTGCCGTAAAAATAGGTTTTAAGATAAATGGGACAAACTGATCATGCGCGAATCACTTTACAAAGCACTCTTGTCATCTCACATTGAATACACATATTAAAGTAAAATAAAAGTGCTCCGTTGTGGCTGTTTTACTGCAATTGGTTGACATCCTGCATTGGTCAATGATCAGGTATCAGACCTGAGACCTTTGGTAGGGTCATGGTGAGTGTTTTAAACGGCTTAAAAAACTCCAACACTAATTTGAAACTCAAATCCGTTAAAATTCTTGGAGAAATTGCCGTACAAATATGTTCAGAGATAAATGGGGCAAACTGATCATGCGCGAATCACTTTACAAAGCACTCTTGTCATCTCACATTGAATACGCATAAAGTAAAATAGAACTGCTCTTGCCTGCTAACTGAAATTGGTTGACATCCTGCATTGGTCAATGATCAGGTTTCAAACCTGAGACCTTTGCTAGGGTCATGGACCTTTATATCTGATAAAGGTCACCCTTATTAGTATTCTTTATATAAAGAATACTAATAAGGAGTGTTTTATCAGATATAAAGGTCCATGCATGTGACCAAATAGGCTCATTCTATTGGCCTAATAACTCATTTAATGAGTTAATTAATTATTGTATGAGGTTTTGAAGAATAAGCCAATCAGAGCGAGCGTTATATATATCAAAAATTTTATAATGTTTTATATTATTGTATGAGGAAGTAGCTGATCCCATTAAAGAGTGCTCAATACACATAAAGYGTAGAGCTAGTTATATATATAATATCAAAGAGGCAAGATTTTGCTGTTACTCCGAGTTTCGTGCTACGCACTCATCAGACAGTATTTAATCAGACAGTATTAAATACTGTCTGATGAGTGCGTAGCACGAAACTCGGAGTWACAGCAAAATCTTGCCTCTTTGATATTATATATATAATGTTTTATATTATAAATCATTAATTTATTATTATCATTTATGAAACCTTTACCGGTTCAAAAGTCATGACAGCCTGCAAATACATGATAGTTCCATATCCTAATGCATGGTACATGCTCTCTTTGGCCCTACAGAAATGGAGACTCTGGTTGAGAGATTTATCAAAAAGAAAATCAATACAAGATAGCAATTTCCCAGGGAGCAGTGGAATAATACATATCAAACTCTGTATGTGCTCAGTCATTTCAACCCTAGTGAAAGAATAGCAGGAGAAGAGATGACGTGATTTAACTATTGCCAATGGCTAGTGTAAATGTATGTAGGTCTTGTATCAATCATTTGACCATGAAACTTACCTGTGACCAGTTGGACTCAATGATCTACAGTTAGTATCATACCCTGGATATCTTACGTCTAGATAAAGTGATATTGCACAAATTTGCTGTACATTACCTAACTCAATTCAATTTTCTTACCATGGCTCCAAAAGCTTTTGTGCTTTAAGAAACTTATTTGACAAACAAAGATTTATAGCAACAGCAGTTGTTTTAATTGCGTCTGGTAGATCAGTCTCATTGCCTGGATTGCATTTCCTATAGATACATGTAATAACAGTTGAGATCAATCAGTCACACAGTTATAATTACACCATGCATGTATCTTCAGTTAACATTTTGCACTGTTCTACTCAATTTTGAGTGAATATAGACCCTGTGCAGCTTGGGGGTATATTTACATGTACAACATCTCACCTCCAGTAAATCATGGTGATTTTCTATCTGCTACTGACAATAAACCCTTTTAGCAATCTTTTTTACACTTTGATAGCCTCAAAACTGCATAAATTTTCTATTCACTAAACAGCCCGTGCAAATGCAAGAGATCTGTGACTTGAAGACAATGGAAATAGTTCGAAATTTTAGGAGTTTTATCTAAGTTTCTGAATATTTTGCATACAATTGAGGCTAACACAGCATAAAAGAGATCGTGAAATTCAAAAACATTTTTAAGTACTATAAATTTTAGCTTTGAGACTGAAACTACAGGACTGTGCAGGGTTTTATGAAGGGGGTTTTCACGTTTTAGTTTCAAGACTGCAAAGAAGGGGATAGAGTACTAAAGTGATGACGTCACAAAACGAAAATGTTTGAGTTTTGAAATTTAACGAAAGGAACAAGACCAAATTTACAAGCGTTTGTATGTGGTCATCCGACCATAAAATCGTTTGTATCTCCGCTATAAATGACACTAGGACATTGAAATTTGGTAGATAGCTCCTTTTTCCATGTGCTTTAAGGATATGTCAACAAATCCGAAAAATTCGAAAAAAACTATTTCTGTGAGGTCACACTTTAGTACTTTATTGGCAAAAAAGTTGCATTAAGTGTTGTTTTTGGATTCACACATAACAAACATTGGAATTCCCAAAAATACATAACCCATATTGGCCTTTCCGAAATTGCAAAGTATGAAAATAGTCCATTGAAAACTGAAAACCTAAAACTGAAAACCTCACCACTTGAAAGACCATTCTACAATTATCGTAACTTCAAAGCTTGAGCCTATTTGGTTAAATTTTCAAAAGCTCAAACAGTGGCTCTGGGTACGAGGTTGGCAGGAAATAATATGTATAATAAATAAAATGCAAAATATCTGACCCCTGATATATTGTTACATGAATGATTTTCTAAGATTGCTAGATTAGATCAATTAGATTGAAAATTACTCAAACTCTTAGCAATCAAGCTTACAATGAATAAGAATTTAACTTTGAAATATCTGTTATCCTAGATATAAACATATTCTTATTGGTTAGCAGTCGGAATTTCAACACCACTACAATTAACTTAACCCTAGTTATTTATAAAAATAGTTTTTGAGTCAATCATATCTTTCACTATTTCAACAAGCATTTTGTATAGCAACAGTGTTGCATTCCTTTCAGAGGAAAATTATTTTAATACTTGGAGGTAATGTCGTAATAAGAACTTACGCTTACTGAATCCAAGGCACTAGCAATGTGAAACTTAAGCTTACATGTAAAAGGACCTTAAAAAAGGTGAGTCTTGTGTGATTTTTAAAAACTGTCAGAAAAAGACATTGGGATGAAAGCATGATTATTTGGGTTGAATGAGAACTCTCCACAAGCAACTCAAGAGAGCTTGCACACTCGAGCTGGAGCTCTGACTGAGTCTTCATGCATAAGCTTTCAAGCTAAATTAAAATTGAACAAAGTTCTCACCTTGAAGCATCGTCACTTGATGAACTCGACTCTTCTGTCATGGCTTGATATTGCTCCAAACTACATTTAGAGTATGTTAATAAGAAGAGCAGAGGTGACTGAAGCCGAAATATTTACAAGAGTCACCTGTTCCCGTTGTTTTTAAAATAACAACATGAATGATGCTGACCGCAAAGATATCGCGGGCGTAGAGTGTAATTCATACCGTGGGAGACTGGAACAGCGCCGTCATTTTAGTTAACGTTTTCGGTGTTGGCCAAGAGAACGAAGGCTCGGGGTACGAGATTGAGTTTGGTGCCCGGGGGGGTACTCCCCCGAAACTTGGGTGGGGGTGTGCCGCTGGGACCTCAAAGCCCTGACCCTGTTCCAGAGTGAAATCGCTGATAACTATACCCTGTTCCAGAGTAAAATCGATGAAAACGATACTCTGTTCCAGAGTAAAATCCTGCACTAGCTTGCGTGTTATACCGAATTTTTACCCCATGAATTTTTACCCAGCATCAACAATTCCGGAATTCAACCCTGACCCTGTTCCAGAGAAAATTCGTTGAAATCGATACCCTGTTCCAGAGTAAAATCGCTAAAATCGATACCCAGTTCCAGAGTAAAATCGCTGAAAACGATACCCTAGCTGGCGGCACGTCCCCGTATAGCGAATATAGGGGAGTACCCCCCCCGGG